ACACAAACAAACGCACACACACAAAAACACAAAAAACCATGTTGTTCACACTCACCACTTGATCGCTTGTGCCACATCCCGCTTAATCACATTGCCGTTGGCATAGTACCAGCCAAGATTTCGCTGCGCACGACTGCTGTTGCCAACCTCGGCAGCTCGCAAAAACCACTTGACGGCGGCTTGGTGATCGACAGGGACGCCCCAAGTGCCGTCACGGTAGACAGCACCGAGTTTGACCATGGACTCGACGTCGTTGTTGAGAGCGGCAGCTTGATACCACTCGAGACAAGTGGTGACATCGGCGGCGGGGTGCTGCGAGTCTGGCGAATAGTACCATGCCAGGAATGTCTGGGCTGTGAGTTCATTCTGCGCAGCCGCGCGGAAGTACCACTTGAGCGCCTGCTCCTTGTTGACTGCAGTGCCATGTCCTTCGTACAGGCACCAGCCGAGGTTGCGCTGGGCGCGCGCATGTCCGCGCAGCGCAGCGTTTTCATAGCACTTGAAGGCGTGCGCCATTGACTTTTCCACACCAACACCATCACGGTAGCAAGCGCCGAGCCAGCACAAGCCCTCCAAGGAATCGTGTTTGACGGACTCGATGAACATTCGGAACGCAGCGGGTTGATCGCGCGGGAAGCCAAAGCTTCCGTCCATGTGGCACTGCGCAATGCGCGAGATTGAATCTCCGTGGTTTTGTGCACGCGCGGCAGTGTAGTACTCCAAAGCACGGGCGGGGTCCTTGGTGACGCCGCACAGGCCCAGCTCGTGGCACTGACCAAGCTCATACAGGGCGCCCGCATCGCCGAGCTCGGCGCCCTCGCTAAAGAGGCGCAGCGCCTCAGCCACATTCTCCTTGCCTGTGCCAGTCTTGTAGCAATGGCCAACCCAGCGCAAGCTCGACATGTTTCCGGCGCGAGCAGCGCGGAAAAAGTAGCGGAATGCATTGTTTCCGTTCGCAGGCATGTCGATGCCGTGCAGGTTGCGCATGGCCAGCTCATACAAGGCAATGGGGTGGTTGCCGTCGCGGGCTGCTCGCTTGAGCCAGTTCAGTGACTCGGTCAGGTTTTTGGTCGCGCCACCCGAGCCAGTCAAGTGGCGAAGCGCCATTTGGTACTGGGCCTCGGGATCGTTGTCCTCTGCCAAGTCCTGCAAGTGTGCAAGGTTTGCGTCGAGGTAGAGCTTTGGAACAGTGTGAGGGGCAGCCTCGCCCAGGACCAACGTCTCTGGAATCGGAGGAGAGACGTTTGGCGCGGGTGTGGCTCCGCGAGGCGTAGGTGCCAACGCGGCCGAGGCACCCGCTGCCATCGATACCGGTTGTTGGCCAGGCTTGTTGGCAGTCGGGCGCGAGGGAGCAGCCAAGGGCGCCTCAATCAGCATGGAAGGAGACCTCGGCGCAGCTGGTTCCGCGAGTTTCTGGACGGCTGGGACGCGGACACCAGGACCAGGAGAAGCCGGCAGTGGCCCATTGGGCACGGCAGAGCTCAAACGTGATGCGAGCGCAGCAGGCTTGGCAGGCACCGGAGGCAAGGCAGCGCTGTCCGGCAAGCTGGCAGCCAGCTCGTAAATGGCAGCCTCCTTCTCGTTGGGCAGCGTCGCTGCGGGCCGGTTGGGCAGCAGCATCACCTTCTTCCTGGGTGCAGTGGCGGGCCCTTGTCCTCCAGTGGTCTGCGCCGCCTTTTGTTGCTGCTGCTGCTGCTGGGGCTGTTGAGCTGCTGCAGGATTCAAATTGGACCGCGGAGGAAGCGCTGGTGATTGCTGCTGCTGCTGCTGTTGTTGTTGCTGATGCGGTGTGGGCCCAACAAAGTTTCGCTCGAACGCGACCTGTGCGCTTTGCACCGAAGGCAGCGCGTCCAGGATTTCGTAACCACCAGAGTCGCGGGACGCAATCTTGCGTTCCGAGGCGCGCAGGCTGAGCTGATGGCGGGAAAGGGGTGCCGCCTGGTCTTGACGGTAGGCATCAAAGCGTTGAGGCAAGGGTTCGGGGTGGATGGAATCGCCCTTCTTGTTGATTTCCTGGCAGTACTCGACGCTTGCAAGCTTGGTCTCGAGCTGCGTGAGCTCGCCGACAAGCTCGGAAAACTTGGGGCGCTTGGAAGGGTTGACATCGCAGCAGCGCTCAATCAGCTCCTTGAACTTTGGCGGGCAGTTCTGAATGTGGGGCTCGACCGTGATGGCCACGCCAGACTTTTTCAGGCGCGTAATCTCCATGATGGCCGTTTCCTGGTCGGGAACGACCTGCATGGTGGCCAAGTCGCAGAAGAGCAAATCACGGTGCACGACTTCCCAGATGATGCAGCCGAATGCATAAACGTCGCAGGCCTCGTTGACCGGGGCGTTGCTGGCAAACCACTCGCCAGCCGAGCGGCTTTGGGAAACCAGCAGCTCTGGGGCGGCGTACAGGACGCGGCCGAGCGCAGCGTTGATCATGCCGAGGTCACGCTGGTGCTGCAGCTTGTCATTGGCTGCCGAGGCCTTGTTTGACGCGCTGCCCGCACCGGGGCCGGGGCTCGTGGGAGCCTGCTGACGGAAGCGCGACAGGCCAAAGTCCGACACTTTGACGTGCAAGTCCTGGTCGAGGAGCAGGTTGGAGGTCTTGAGATCGTTGTGGATGATTGGCGGAGAGTGCTTGTACAGCGCGGCCATGCCGAGAGCAGCCTCCTTGATGAAGCGGGCTCGGAGCTTCCACGGCACGTCGAGAATGTTGTCGCGTTGGGTGACCATGTAATCATACAGGCTGCCTCCGGCGCAGTTTTCCATAATCAAGCAGCGGTTGCCCTTCTCTGCGCAGACAGCGTACAGCATGACAACGTTCTTGTGGGAGAGACGCTCCATCACCGAGACTTCATGCTCAAACTCTTGCAGAGCAAGCTTCATGCCCTCGCGGCGCTGCCGTGCCTCCTCCGAGTCGTCGTCGGCCTCAACAAAGCCCGCATTGTGGCCGGCACCAGCGCCACCACCTGCGCCGAGCTGGTGGTTGAGATGGTTTGCGCGGTGGATGAGATCCTTGATGGCGAGCTTCATGCCCGCGTCGCCGGAAGGGATGCCGGGCGAATTGAGCATCTTGACGGCGACTTCGTCGCCTTGCCAGATGGCGCGCCAGACGGAGGCGTAGCCGCCTGCGCCGAGCGGCTTTGGGTCGGGGAAATCGAGCTCAAAGAAGGGGACGCGCGGGCATCGCAGGACGGTCTGCTGCTGGCTGCTCTTGCCCTGCTTGTTGCCAGCATGGTAGAAGCTGCTTGGAGCGGACGGCGGGGCGGACGTGAGACTGCTGCTGCCGTTCGACGAGGACGACGAGGACGACGAGGACTGAGGCGAGCCCTTGAGATGGCGATCAAACATTGCGACGAGCGAGCGCAGCAGATTCGCGTGCAGCGCGGGTGCAGTCTTTGGCTGGAGCTGCAGCAGCATGTACTGGACAATGTCGGTGAGCATGAACTTGAGTGCAGTGACGTCCGCCGCGTCGTCGTCGTCAAAGTGAAGCCCGCAGAAGAGCATTGCGCGCTGACCCCGCAGCCCGGCGTTCGCCAGCTCGTCCGGCGACTTTTGCGCAATGTTGGTTGCAGCAGCAATGGTAGCCGCCGCCGCTGCAGCCGGGGACAGCGAGGACCCATTGTTGTTGTTGGTGTTGTTGTTGTTGTTGGGCTTTTGGTTTGCTGCTGGGCTTCGCTGCTGGGTGAGGACGGTCGCGTTGCCATAGAGCGCGTCCGCGGCGGCGGGCTTGGTGCTGCTAGTTGCTGCAGCAATCATGGAGATGGAGCCCGTGGCCGCGAGCGCAATGGCCTGCTGCTGGATCTCCTGCGGCAAGAGCGCGGTGACTGTTTGGGAACATTCGAGGAACTGTGTCCGCATTGCGCCCTCACGGAACGCGACTGCCTTCCACGCGTCCTGCGGCAACGGCTGCGGTGGTGGTGGTGCTTGTTGCTGCTGATGCTGCTGGTGCTGCTGCTTTGGAAGTGGCGCCGCCGAGGAGAGGAGCGCAAGCAGAACGCGGCAGCCCGCAAACGCATTGACGAAATCCTGCTGGGTGCCAAACCGGGAAAGCAGCGAGCCAGATCTCTGCTGCTGGTTGCGTGTCTGAAGCTGCTGTTGCTGCTGCTGCTGTTGCTGTTGCTGTTGTTGAGGGAGGTTGGCGCGCTCGAGCTCGTCGAGGACGGCGCTGGCGAGGGCGACCAGGCGCGCTGCCTTGACGTTGGCAAATTGAGCGGCGGAGGCGAGCGAACGGAGCTCGGCAAGCGCCTGCCGCAGCGACCCGGTGTCGGTCGCAGGAACGTCCATCGTTGGATTGTTTGGATTGTTTGGATTGTTGGATGTTTGGATGCCAAAAATTGAAATGTGTGGAAAGTTGAAAGGAAAAAAAAAAAAAAAAAAAAAAAACAAGCAAAATGTGTGTGAAAAAGAGATTTGAAAAAAAACTAGAAAAAAGAAAGAAAAAAAAAAACACAAAAACAGAAAAAAAGACAAAGAAAAGGAGAAAAAAAAAAAAGTGGGTTTGATTTGTTTTTGGATTTTGGAAAAGAAAAAGAAGAAGAAAAGAAAGAAGAAGAAAAGGAAGAAAGAAAGAAAAAACAATCGAAAGTGAGTTCAAAAAGGAACAAAAGAAAAAAAAAAAAAACACAAAGAAAAGGACGAAACTTTGAAGAAAGATCAAAAAAAGAGAAAAGGAAACAAAAAAGACGAAAATCGCCAAAATTGGGAGCCACGCAGCAAGAAACGCACACACACACCCTGCGAATTTGCGAACTGGATCAACAAGACGGATGGACGGTGAAGAGGGAGAAACAAGGACGCTATGAGAGGAGAGGAGAGACAAGCTCCAAGCTCCTGCAGGCCACGCAAATGGTTTGATCGAGTGCGCAGTGTTGTTCCGAAAACTCGGTCCAAACACGACTCGCTTGGACAGCCGGGACCGAATTTGCGGCCTGAGACTTGCAAAATCCGCGAGAAAAGCTCGACTACGTCGGGGTCTGGCGAGGGCGACAAGGAACCGCGAGGATCCGCGAGTTGACAATCTTGAGCTCCTCATGTCAGGCCGGAGGAAGATGCAAGCGCCCCGGTTGACGCCATCCCGTACCAGGTCATCTGCTTCGTCCAGGCTAGAAAGGGTGAAGAGACTGGCTTGATCGCGGTGATGCGCAACCATCTGCCGCCATTGGCGAAACACCAAAAATCTGCTCCAGCAGGCTCAAGGTCGGTTGGTCGGTTGCGTCTCATCGTCGCCCGTGGCACCTGTCCACTGATGTCAACACATAGTGTAAGTGAGGGTAGCACAGCGGCCTTGCGAAAGTGTGGAAAGTCGTTGCTTCGCGAACTTTTTAGCCGCACGATACAGCTCGAGGGCCAGGCACCCATGCCTCCGCCCGGTGTGCCCAGTCGAGTCATCCGATGCTGTTTGGTGGATGGGTATGAGACGGGGAGGCAGAGTGCGACACAGACTTCAGGTTTATCCTTGTACAATTGATGAACGGAAATGGAGAACAAATGGCCGGAATGGACTCGACATTGACCAGCAAACGGCCGTCCTTCATGGATAGAAAGCATCCCAGACATGCAGTGGAAGCCACGGCCAGCGGATGGCGGACGGGGTGAATAAATTGCAACAATCATCATGACTGCCGCGTTTGGGCAAAATCGATCCACAACAAACAACAATTCTGTGGAATGCGTTTTGAGCAGTCCTCTTTCTCCTCGTTCAACGGAAATGGCGACAGATCGCGACCCATCAATGGACCAGCTTACTCTGCAGTTTGGAGAACTACAGCTTGATGACCAAGTAAACGCGTTGGTCGATCATATGCGAGCAAACCGCGCTCTACAACAAGGTGTTGCCGACAAGTTGGGATGGACGATGCGACCCAGTACGCCTCCACCTCAGACCCCGCCTTATTGGCTTCGACAGTGGGTTGAATCCGACAATGCTCGACACATTGTTTTGCTGCCTAGTCTAAACGAGATTGAAGTTCCATTCGGACCCTGGCGACTGCTGATCACTTCAAAACAAGATTATGAGCATGATGGACTCACATACAACTGGACTCGCACGAGACAGCAACCAGGTTTTCGACCCAAACCTGAAATGTTCAAGAAGCGATACTTGTCTGACGTGACAGGAGGAAACTACGAAATCGCCATCGGATGCAACAATCGCTTTGCGATTATTTATACCGGCGAGACCAACGATTACAAACGCCGTTTGGTGCACGATTACGCAGCACATGGTAGCTCTTTGTTCGTGGCAATCAATCAGGCAATGAACGATGGCCATGACGTATTTGTCCGTTGGACAACGCGGGGTTACGAAGAGCGAAAGTCGATCGAAACTGCTTTGATTCGTCGGTTTCGCCACCCCTTGAACCAGCGAAAGCGTTTTGATCTTAATCCTGTGTCTCCATGACGATACAACCAAATAAATGCTCGCCCAAAGCAACTAAACTTGTCAAGAAGGTGAAAAGAGACGGGATTGGCAAAATTTGGAGCGGGTGATCGATCTTTGTTGATACGTGTTACGACCTTACCCGGAACTTAACCTGGAATCGCTGCTGAAGCGTATGGAACGAATGCTGAAGTGTCGTTTACTAAGAATCGAGTGAAGAATGAGGGGAAACCCGATTAGGGAAGAAGTTCGTAACAAATCGCTTCGAATTTTTGAGCGAACCAAAACCATACATGACTGACTAATCCTCGCCTGTCCCTGTCAGGGGAGGAATGATAAAGCCAAGTTTATGAGAATCCAACAGTCACATTTTGCGATGCTTTCACTGCTTTCCCCCATTCATCTCCATACATGAGCTCTGGTCGTTTCTCAGACACCGAGTATTTTTCATTTGTTCCTTATCCAACCTCCACTATTGCCATTTATTATTTACTACTACAGTATCAATGCAACATGCTCACTCTCTTCTCTCTCAGCTTTTCAGACTTTTTTTTTTCCAGTTGTGTTTCAAGCATGAGTTTCGCGAATTCTGAATCGACTGCGACGACGTTGGCGGCAGTTCGCGCTGTGCTTGTCAATCCCGCGATCGCCGTGGCTGGCTCGGAGGACATTCTGCGCGACGACGACTCATCCGCAGCAACAACGGCAGCAACAGCAGGCGGCCCGCAGCAGCAGCAGCAGCAGCAGCAGCAGGACGGAGCATTCGCTGCTGAGAGCGGCAATTCGAGAGCCATGCTGCGCGCTGCTCAAGGTCGCCTCGTTCCAGACCGAGATCAAGAGGAACACGAAGACGAAAACGACTTGTACAACCATGAGGATCCAGCGGTGGCAGCCGCTGCGCCAGCCATCGACCGGCAGCGCAGAGCCGTGGAAAACGCGTTGGCGTTGCTAAACACGTACTGCGAAGGTGAGGAAGAGCCGCGGACATGCCGTGACATCCTCAAGCCAGATAGGGGCTCGAGATGGCGAATTATACCATGACGTGTGATCGTGGAAGCGGCGGCGGCGGGGGGAGGAGAGAGAGAGATTGGTTGCACTTGCGCCAAATGTCGCTCGACTTCTGAGAACTCTCGCAGCCGCTCTGCTGCTAATCCTGAGGTTTCTCACATTGCTTGGATGGATGCCTGTTGTTATTATGATTATTTTCAACAGCATTGCTTCATGCTCAGCCGACAAGTGTTCGCCAGGCCCAGTTCGACGATCTCCTGCGCAACCATTTCCCTCTGTCACTGCTTTTGAACTACCTCAACCCGGGAAATCCAGAGTCGGTGTGGGAGCTGACTGTGCAAGTGCTTAAAAAGGTTGGACTCCATGCAAGCTTTATTTTTGCCGCCGGGGTTTGGGACTGGAAAGAGTAATTTTGGCTGACTGCAGGGTGGTTTGTTTGTTTGCTTGTTTCCTACGACGGGCAGGTTTTTGTTGGATGGGCGCCAGATGCGGAGACTGCAGCTTGGGTCAAGGTATGTTGCCCCGCCAGCTTGATTTGGCAACACCACGAGAACTGCTTTGCATTCAAGATTGCGTGTCTCTGACATTTTTCTGCGCCATTTTGTTTTTTGGCCAGCCGTTTGTCATTCAAGGTTTCCACCATCCTTACGTCGGAGTCCGCACTCTGAGTATTTTGCAGCTGTCCAGAATTGCGCGCGTTCATTCAAACTTTGTAAGACTGGAGACCGGAAATTTTGCTACACTGTAGTCTTGTTGCGCTGAGACCTGCATTTCGTTGTCGTTGTTGTTTGGTGCTGCATTCGCTGTTCAGTTGGACGACGAGCTCATCACCCTCACTATGGGGCTTCTTGCCGATCCTTTGCTGCCGGTTGCTCAGCAAGCAACTGCCATGCTGCTTGATGTAAAGTTTGGAGCCTCGCAAGCTGCCACGTTATTTTGTTTTTCACTGTAACCTCCCCATTCCCTCCCGCTTTTGCTTTTGTCAGGCACTTGGCCATGAGCAATCTGGTGGTCCTCTACTTTCTCCTCGGTTTCAACAAACCTTGCTTGCATTATTTGCCAAGTATGTGT